AAGGTTAACATACCCTCCACGATGTTTGCATACCTCAATTCATTCATCCATAGGGTCAATATACCCTCCACAAGGTTTCCATACCTCAATTCCTTCCTCTCGTGTATAATTTAATTTCTTATTGTTTCTTTGTCTACTTTGTTTATTCTGAAACCCGAACAAAATTATCTTTACTTATCTTTTACTACGATAATATGAAAATGTAAACTTTTCATATCATCTAATAAAATATAAGTAAGAAGGAGCAACTTTCAACACCCAATTTTTTCCGGGTAATAAAAAAAAGAAATAAAAAAATACTATTTGTTTTACTATTTGCACCGCCAAATTAACTTTTTAACCTTTAGCCCAATGGCCCAAAATAATCCCACGTTTTTTAACTTCCTCACCACCTTTTTTTTTCTTATCACACCTCACTCTCCACATCACCTTCCACCTCACCCTCTATATCATCTACCTTTTTCATTTATTTTTCCACCTCATTTCCATATTAATTTTTATATACCAACTTTTCTAATTATTCCTCTCACATCTTTAAATTATATTTTATCCACCACCCTTTCCACCAACCTTTTTTTTTTCTTTCCTTCATCCATTTTCTTCATCTACTTTCCACCCCCTTTTTATATTAAATTCTCTTTCTAACTTTTAAATCATATTTTATTCACCATCTTCTCCACCAACATATTTTATTATTTCCTTCACTCATTTTCTCCATCTACTTTTCTAAATCATATTTTACTCACCACCTTCTCCACCAACAAATTTTATTATTTCCTTCATCCATTTTCTTCATCTACTTTTCCACTCCACATTTATGTTAATTTCTTTTACTAAATTTTATTTATTCCGTAACTTTTCTAAATTATATTTTATCTACCACCTTCTCTAACAAACTTTTTTTTATTATTTCCTACGTCTACCTTCTTTCTCTAATTTTTCCACCCCGTTATTATATTATTTTTATTCATCAACTTTCTCCATTCATAACTCTATAAATACCCTTATACTCTTCACTCCATCTTTACACACACAATTACATAATATCCATCTCTTCTATCTCAAAAACCTCTTCATTCCATCCCAAAACTTTACTTCATTTTTCTCTCACACTTTACTATTTCCTAATCCCTCTATACATATTAAATCTCATACCACATTTCTACTACAATGTCATCTTCTTCACGTTCCATCTACCTCTTCTCACAACGTATTACAAGTAAGATTTTGCTCCATCATTCAAATCTTCAACAAGGTACACATATTCTTCTCATTCCCTTTATATATGCATTTTGATCATTTTTTTAGTTTATAAATTTATCTTGTTTTCTACCACAACTTTATCTTATACTTTTTCACATTTTTATGTCATAGATATTTCAACTCATCTCTCTTTCTTAATAAAAAGCAAATAAAAAATGACAAAAATATATAAAACTTTAAAAAAATATATAATAATATAAATAACGGTATGAGTACTCGTGCGATTGTACGCATCAGCCTAGTACTCATTATCCAAAATATAAAAATAAACAAAAAAGCCATATGAGTACGAGTGTACGCGTGCGATCGTACGCATCATCTTAGTGCTCATTACGCAAAACATTAAAAATAAACAAAAAAAAAGTCGTATGAGTACTCATGCGATCGTACGCATAAGCCTAGTGCTCACTACGCAAAACAATAAAATTAAACCAAAAAAAATCTGTATGAGTACTTGTGCGATCGTACGTATCAACCTAGTGCTCATTACGCAAAACAATAAAAAATAAACAAAAATTTGTGTGAGTACTCGTGCGATCGTACGCATCAGCATAGTGCTTATTACTAAAAATATAAATATTATATCAAAATACAAAAAAAAGTAAAATCTCCAAAAAGCTAAAAAATATCAAATTCTCATGTATTTAATCTGAGCCAGAACTACGTGATCCTTAATTCTCCTTAATTCTCCATCAAAATGGAAATACGTAGGAGTAAGGTCAATCATTGTCAGGTTCACTTCCCTAAAATCCAAAATAATCTTTCAAATAATTTTCCAAATCAATTTCTCAAACCTCTTTCCATACTTATTTTCAAAAGAACTACGTACCCCTGATTCCTCACATGAAAATACGTAGGACCAAGGACAATCCTTGTCGGGCTTCCATACAATCCTTGTCGGGCTTTCTCACATGAGTCTTATTGACACTAATAGGAAAATAAAATAGGGTAAGGAATACTGGAGTAAACAAATGAACTTCATCATATTATAAAAAATGACTTTGAGTTAGTTAGCTAGGATACGACCCTTAAGGACATATATAAAATGTAAATCTTTTGTTGTCACTTGAGCATGGTTACTTCTCCTAGGAACCAAAATCCATGTAATAACAAAGGCTAGTAACTTATCATCTTTCTTCATACCCTCAGCCTTAAACAAGATATAATCTTTAGGCTCATTTGATTGTTTTGTCTATATTTTCTTATATTTTTAACAATTTCATTTCCTTATTTTTGATATTGTTTGATGTAATTAGCATGTAATGCACTCTTTTGTTTGCATTACGTTGGTTTGAACTATATTTTTTAGATTCATGGCATATTTTGGGTTTGATATGCTTGTGCAATTTTTTTTATCTATTATATCCTTATTTTGATCATGTCCAAATGGGAGAAAATGTTTGTCTTTGTATGTATAGGTTGGTCATCATAAAAAAGTCAACATGAATCGTTAGCTATCATAAAAAAGACAACACGAATCATTGGAGCAACAATGATGATAGAGGAGGATGAAGAAAAAGAAAATGAAAAAAAAAGAAAAGGAATAAGAAAAGAAGGGGAAGTGGAAAGAGAAAATCATATCATAATATTTACTAACAAAATAATCATAAATAATTACTAACATATATTTACTAACAAATTTACATCGACAAATTCTTTATTATTAATAATCATTATTTTTGGTTTGTTAATAAATTTTTGTCACTAGTTTTTAATCGTTTATAATATCAATATTTTTTTAATATAACATTAAAAATGACTTTAACCTATGTTGTCTAAAAAATAATTTTTGTTAACTGAAAACGAAACCCATCCAAAAAATAATCTCTATTGAAATGAAAAATGTATTTGACATCAATAAAATAAAAAGAGGGTTAAAAATGTTCTTCATCTTCAAATTATTATAAAAGATAATATGTGAAAGTGATATAAGACATCATTTATAAATGACAAGTGTTTTTTTTATATGACAAATGGAATTCTATAATGAACTAATATAAACTTCACATACGGTTTGTTGAAAATAGTGCTTTCCATAACTTTTACAAAATGCTGAAATGAAATACTTTATAATTTAATTTAAGTATACAATTTTTTTTGTAATAATTTAGAAAGAAATAACATATTTAACAAATAAAATAGTATAAAGAATTCTTTTACTAAGAAATATCTATGTCCTGACATCAACAATAAACTAACTCTAACTATGTCAAATGAAAAATAAGCATGATTAATTTTTCACTATTTTATTATGATTTCAATTTTTTTTCAAAACATTTACACTATTTTATTATGATTTCTTTTTCAAATTTTCTATAAAATTCTACCAGTTTATTAAAATTCCCTGTCGAATAAAAAGTCAACAGTATACTAAACAAATTCAATGTCGACCTTATTTTAGGATATTATTTTTGCGATTGTTAAATTTGATACGACTTACGCTAACAAATCATATTTCTCTTTCACACAATTCTATATAATGATTAAAATCATTGCGTTTAAGAATGAAAATATTTAATACAGTGTTTCCTTTTTTTTTTTCTCAAGACATTTCTTATTTTCAAGACCCCTCAATTTCTTTGCTAATATCGTCTTTAATGTTAACTTTTTTAATTTCAACTTTCTTAAATACGTTAGTTTCATGTTTTTGAATTGTTTTTCCTCAATTTAAATTGTTTGTATTTCCACTCTTAGTTGCAACTGCTTCTTGTTTTGAGTTTATTTATTTAAATTAATTACCTACCACTATATCAAATTTTCACCCAAATAGTTCAAATAGGCTAAAAAATTATCTGATAGTACACTTACAAAATATTTACATAGATAATATATATATATATATATATATATATATATATATATATATATATATTGTATGGTAAGATATCTGAATCGATAGATTGGCAACCCAAGCGATCACAAGGATAAAATAACGAGCTTACATATGACTGTTCCCGAACGATCGTTCACCCGTCAAAGTGAGCGATCGTTATATCCCATTTACCGATCGTCTTTTAGCGATCGTCTGTTAAACCCAGTCAAAGATAAAAGTCAACAAATGTTCGGTTAATTTTAGTCAAAAAGGTTATAGACAAGTGACCATGACGTCGCAAATCACGAAACCAACTAACCTAATATCAAGTACGACTAAGCGGTTATATGTGCCAAGCAGTTAAGTTCTCTAACCAACCAGATTTTCAGGTAAACAGTTTTATCTTATTGCTAGGTTAAATATGAAAAACCAGAAGGAAAAAGGTACGTTTTTCTGAATTAGAAGGAGAGAAAATTATTACTTTTTTCTATTATTGAACTGAAAGAGTTCTACGATTCCCCTTTTCTGACTTGAGCGTCGGAGTGCCTTCGTAGGTACCTACTCCATTCTCCCTGGAGTATTCTGAACAGGAAGAGGACGTGAAGATAACGACATTCTAGGAGGAAAGGACGTGACTCATCAGGTTCATATCTCAGCCTCAACTCTTATACCGAAACATTTTGGCGCCCACCGTGGGGCCGAGATTTGATATCCCCAAAGAAGACCACAAGAGCTATGGGAGACAACAACACACTGGATTTGATCAAGCAACTGCAGGCACAGATCGAAGCGTAGGCTCAAACCATACGGGAGCAACAAGAGATCCAACGCAAACAAACAGAGGAGATTGCGACACTGAGGGCGCCGCGTCCCCCGCTGGAAATATCGACCTCCAACCGCCAGGATGATAATGAAGGCAGCCACCATGGAGGACCATCCGAACCAGTCGGGGGGGAGGGGGGGACGGAAGGGACCCACCTCTCTACGGCTCACTAACCTGCTTCCATTTACGGAAGCCATCATGCAAGCCCATATGCCAGAAAAGCCCCCTCCGACGTTAGAAAGATACGACGGTTCAGCATACCCCGACAATCATCTCCGCAACTTCATCGATGACATGGCGTTCTACACGGACAATGATCCCGTCATTTGCAGAGCTTTTTCGTTATCCCTGAAAGATGAGGCACTCGAGTGGTACCACACTCTTCCTCAGAATTCGGTAGATTGCTTCGCTACCGTAGAAGCTCTGTTTCGAAAACAATATGCTATAAACCGAAGACCGGAGATGACTCCTGCTGAGCTTGTGAACACCAAGCAGGAGAAAGATGAGACCCTAAAGGCCTTCATGCAGAGGTACAACGAGACGGCCCGACGTGTGAAGGATGTAAACCACACGTTTATAATCAGCAATCTACCTTCCTGTTTACGGCCAGGGTATTTCGCCGAACAGCTGTACGCAGATCCTCCCAAATCTATGGAGGAACTCCAGGCAACGATCGCAACATTCATCCGCATCGAGGACCTCAGGAACTCAAGGAAAAAGCAACAACATGAAAGTCCGAACAATAATACTAAGAAGGACATGAAACGGTCGTCTAACGACTATAAAACAAATCGACCCCCTCGAAAAGAGTCGGGGTGGATGCCCAAGTACGAACGTTATACATCCCTCAACGCACCTAGGGCGAAACTGCTCGAAGAGGCATTGCACGCAGGACTCCTCACCGTTCGGCGGAAGGCTACTCCCAAGAACGCTGATGGCAGTAAAGCGTGTCGACTTCATATGAACCATGGTCATGATACAGAAGAATGTAACATGGTGAAAGATGAGTTGGAAAGACTCATCCGCGTGGGCTACCTCCAAAATTACGTAAAGGAGAGGACATCCACCAGAGTAGCAACTCCCAACCGGAAGGAATCCTCCCGACGAAGCCCCGAACGATCACCTCCTAGGGACGACTAGCGAAGACGGCGATCCTGGAGCCAACCTCGACGCTCAGAAGGAGAGAGGTCGGTCTGGGGGCGTATCGACACCATATCCGGTGGCTTCGCAGGGGGAGGAGCGTCAACCTCCGCCCGGAAACGACATTTGAGACACTTAAAGTCAGTACACATGGTAGATCGACAATCTCGATCCATACCCAACATCACATTTACTGACGCAGATTTCCACGCTCCCGACCCTGATCACGATGATCCCATGGTCATCACGGCCGAAATAGCCCGTTACGACGTCAGCAAGGTCCTCGTCGATCAAGGCAGTTCGGTCAACATTTTGTATTGGACAACCTTCAAGAAAATGGACTTGTCCGAAGACTTGATAGCCCCTTTCAACGAGCAGATTGTAGGCTTCGTAGGGGAAAGAGTCGACACTCGGGGATACCTTGACCTACGGACTCGACTCGGAACAGGCAGGGATGCACCAGAGCTCAGAGTTAGGTTCTTACTGGTAGAGGCAAATACCTCGTATAATTCTTTTCTAGGACGACCTTGCTTGAACGCTTTCGGAGCCATCATGTCCATCCCTCATCTGGCCATGAAATTCCCCACGGAACGAGGGACCATTTGTACCGTAAGGGCTGATCAGCGAACGACTCGATAGTGCTATGTCGCTGGTTTAAAGGTCACCCCTTTCATGCCACCTAGGAGGGCAAGAGGAGACGAAACAACGACGATCGACTTGGACCCCAGAACCAATATAGACGAACGTCTCCATCCACAAGGAGATGTCAAAACATTCCAATTGGGAGCGGATGTGTCCAAAACCACGACCATCGGTGGAAGCTTGGCGTTACATGATGAGCATGATTTGACGCAGATACTACGAACCAACACTGACCTATTTGCGTGGGTGGCCGCCGATATGCCGGGGATCCATCCGGGAGTCATGGCCCATAAATTGTCGATCTTCAGGGAGGCGCACCCGGTTGCGCAGAAGAAACGACGATTTGGAGAGGAAAAACGCGAGGCCATCCAGGCAGAGGTCAACAAACTGACGAACGCCCAGTTTATCAGGGAGATAACTTACACCACGTGGTTGTCGAACGTGGTCATGGTCAAGAAGTCTAACGACCAATGGAGAATGTGTGTGGACTTCACCGACCTCAACAAAGCATGCCCTAAGGATTCATATCCCCTACCGAGCATTGATCGGTTAGTAGATGGAGCTTCAGGACATACTGTGCTCAGTTTCCTCGATGCGTACTCGGGGTATAACCAAATCCCCATGTACGAGCCCGATCAGAACAAAACAGCCTTCATTACCGAGCGCGCCAATTACTATTATGAAGTAATGCCGTTCGGCCTGAAGAATGCAGGCGCCACCTACCAGCGCCTCATGGACAAAGTTTTCCACCACCAAATCGGCAGATGCATGGATGTCTATGTAGACGACATGATTATCTGAAGCCAATCTGTGGAACAACATCTCAAGGATTTGGCAGAAGTGTTCCTCCAGATCCGGCGATACAACATGCGACTTAACCCCTCCAAATGTACCTTCGGAGTCCCAACTGGTAAGTTCTTGGGGTTCATGCTAACATACAGAGGCATCGAGGCCAACCTAGACAAATGTAAAATCGTGCTCGAAATGTCGAGCCCAAAAACCCTGAAAGAGATACAACGTCTGGTCGGCCGACTCACAGCATTATCCCGTTTCATCCTGAAATTAGCCGAACACATCAGGCCCATCCTGAAAAACATGAAGAAGGGCACCACCCAACACTGGGACGATGATTGTGAAACAACTTTTGATGCTGTTAAACATATTCTCACCAGCCCTCCAATCTTGGCGAGACCGGTCGCCGGATCCGACTTACAAATATACATCGCAGCGTCCCATCATGACGTAAGTGTTGCTTTGGTACAAGAGACTCCCGCCCTTAAGCTGATATATTTTGTCAGCCGCACGCTGCAGGGAGTGGAGGAGCGGTACTCCCAAATCGAGAAGGTAACATTGGCCCTACTCACCGCATCACGCCAACTTTGACCGTATTTCCAGAGTCATCAGTTGGTTGTCCGAACTAATCACCCGATCGCCAAGATCCTCAGAAAACCCGATCTGGCAGGGAGGATGGTCTCATGGTCAGTGGAACTTTCTGAGTTTGGACTCCGTTATGAGCCTCGGGGGTCCATTAAGGGTCAACACCTGGCAGACTTTGCAGGTGAGCTAACACCCACGCCCGACAGCTCGGAACCGAGGTGGCTCCTTAACGTGGATGGATCCTCAGACAAGAGAGGGGGAGGGAGCTGGTATTGTTTTGGAAGGACCAAATGGTCTAATCGTGGAGCAAGCCATCACATTCCGGTTTCCAGCCAGCAATAATCAAGCGGAGTATGAAGCTTTGATTGCTGGTCTAACCCTAGCCAAAGAACTCACGGTCAATCGATTAGAGTGCAGGATGAATTCACAATTGGTGGTCGGGCATATGAACGAAAAATATCAGGTTAAGGATAATCAATTGCTGCGCTACTTCCACAAAGCTAGCACCCTCCTCTAGGATTTTGTCGAGGTCAACATTATCCATGTGCCCAGGGAGCAAAATGCAAGGGCAGATCTCCTGTCTAAATTAACTCACTCCAAGGAGAGAGCACAATTGTCTTCGATCATCAAGATGACACTCGACCACACAGTCGTGGAATCTTTTGTCATCGATGTTCCGACGCAGGAGACGGATTGGAGACAGAACATACAGGACTTGATGATGAAGCAGGAGCGAGGGGAAAAGGTCACCGCAAGTGGCTCAAAACGCATCTCACGTTTTCTATACATAGGCGACGACCTATACAGGCGCGGCTACAGCACACCTTTGTTGAAGTGCACATCGACGGATGAGACTGATTACGTCCTGCGCGAGCTCCACACCGGGATCTACGGTTTTTATTCGGGCAAACGTATGCTCAGAGCGCGCGTACTTCGCAAAGGATATTCTGGCCAACAATCGACCGCGATTGCGAGATATTTGTCAAGAAATGTCTCTCATGCCAGGTACACGGTCATGACTTCCACGTCCCTCCTGAAGAATTGCATGACATTATCTCCCCTTGGCCGTTCGCCCAATGGGGAATCGACATCGTCGGACCGTTGCCCGTCGCAAAAGCTCAGAACAAATTCCTCCTAGTAGCGGTCGACTACTTCACCAAATGGATAGAGGCCGAACCACTGTTCATAATCAGCGTCCAGCGAGTACAGAAGTTCATCTGGGACTTGATATGCCGATTCAGTCTGCCACAAAAGATCATCACCGATAACGGCAGACAGTTCATTGAGAAAAAATTGGAGGAATTCCTCAGCAACTTGGGAATTAAACATGTGACTAGCTTAGTAGAACATCCACAAACTAATGGACAAGCCGAAGCCACGAACAAAGCCCTGCTCACAGAATTGAAAAAGCGACTTGGCGAGGCTAAAGGTTTATGGGTGGAAGAACTACCCGAAGTCCTATGGGCATACAGATGCACCCCGCACGGATCCATCGGGACACTCCATTCAATTTGACATACGGCACCGATGCCATGCTCCCAGTCGAGGTAGGAGAGCCATCCCTAAGACGCAGCATCACCAATATGACCCTTAATGATGAACAGTTGTAGATGAATCTCGACACCCTGCCCGAGCATCGAGCAGTCGCCACCGTCCGTGCGGAAGCCCAAAAAAGAATGCTCTCCCGCCGTTATAACACCAAGGTCAAGCCCCGAGCGTTCAAAAATGGCGATCTTGTGTGGCGGAAATGGGGAGAAGCTAGAAAGAATCGAGCACACGGAAAGTTAGCGGACAACTGGGAGGGACCGTTTCGCATCGTTGAGGACCTGATGAATGGGGCATACCGCCTCCAGCTCCTCAATGGACAAACCGTCCCCAATACGTGGAATGCTACTCACCTCAAATATTATTTCAGTTGAAGTTCATTATTTTTTCTGTTCATGACACATTATCTTTCTCAATTACAATAAAGCATATCTTTTATATTCTTCATTTATTTTGTTCTCACATGTCGAGTCCCAGGATCGAATTTTCCGAAACCGCTCGGCATATTACATGCTCACCCTCGAGTAGCCAGAGCCAAGGCACTATTCGGCCTGATAAAGGTTCACCCTCGAACCTGCGCACCATGATAAATCGGGATACACTCCCTCTGGTAGATGTTCTCTCTTGAACACCTAGTTACATTCGGGATACACTCCCCTGGTAGATTTTCACCCTTGAACACCCAAAACATTAATCTAAACGTTAGCAGACCTAACCAGCGTCTACCTCACATCAATATGAAGACACTATGCCGTTTGCACAATAAAGAACGCAATATCAAATATCTATTATAAAGGTAATCAGTGTCTACAACAAAAAATTTGCAATCAAAGCAAATAAGAGTTCAAAGCCACATTAATATTCTACAACCTAGTATATTACAATATCTGGAGATCCATGAGCCTCTCCAGCAACTTCACTCGTGGGCTCCTCAATGGCAGCCACTCCATCATCATCATCTACTTCTGCCTCCAGAAAAGCATGTTCCGGAATCTCAGCTAGGGGCATCATTTGACCCTCATATACGTCCTTCCTCGGGTCAAAAGCCACTCACTCAGTTGACACTTCCAGGAGATGCTCGACTTGTCTTAGCGCTTTTTTGAAAACCCTAGTGTGTTCCATGACTATGGCTTCACGCATTTCCTCTATTACTTCTCGCTCCTCGGCGGCCGCAGCAAGTAGGTCGTCCCTCTCTTTGGTCACCTCGTCCTTTTCTTGCATCAATGCAGCCACAATCTTCTTTGACTGCTCCAACTCGGACGCCATCTGGTCCTTCGCTATCCGGAGCTCATCCCTTTCCTTCTTCAAGGTAAGGCCAGCTGACCGAGTGGTGTTCAGTAATAATTGCGCTTCACACATCAACTGTTTCGATTGTCTCTGCTTTTGCTCATAGTTAGCATGGACGTCTGCCAGCTCCTTCAGTTGCGTTCGCACCT